TGGGTCCCCTTTATGGGAGGAATAGTACTATTGACTCACGTTGCTTGAGTTCTCACATTTTCGCCTCGTCAGGCTGATAGGATATCCTCGGCAACAGCAGGGATACCGTCGAGTCTTAGGGAGGATCCAGACGCCCTCGATGAGCGTATCAATCAGTTGTTGATAGAGGTCCTGGGGCCAGAGAAAGCCGCTCATTTATGGGATACCACTGATGGTAATAAGATAGTTATACTTATATTTTTACATGATAAAATAGTATGTGTTGGACGCACAGCCAAAGCTGGTACTGAGATCAATAATAATGAGTACTATCAATTTCAGAATCACAGTGCGGCCAAGGCAAACACTGTGAATATAACATCCATTTATTGTACACCCACAGCAGGGCCCCCTAACACACGCCTTAGGATATGGATAGTACTCATACTAGTCACACGTTGATATGTGTTTATATCTACTCCCGATAGAAAATAGTATAGTAATGGAATGCTCGTATAATAGATTATTGATATTTCTATCATATGTTGTCTGGGTCCTTGCGAACTCTGGGTGCAACGAAGATAACAACACTGCTATCACCGATTCAAAATCAAACTGACATTGCATGATCAGTCGGCTAGCATGCAATGTTATTTTGGTATAGGTCTAAAGCTGCAATTTATTATTCCGAATTAGATGTTGTATTCGTCGCTATACTAACTGGATATGTGTAGATTTCCTTGGTCAGGATCACCAGAGTCACTCGAAGGAGTTTCTGAGGTCGTCTTGACCACAGACGACGCGGTCGTTGGAGAAAATTGTGCAATTTGTATGGAAGAGTACAAAGTAGAGGATGAATGGTAACTAGGAGGTGTACTAGACTACGCGTACCACTCCTCTGGTACTTCTCAGTTACAAGCTTGCCTGTGGTCACTATCTCCACAAAGAGTGTGGACGTCGATGGTTGCAAAGAGCCCCCACATGTCCAATCTGTCGAGCCAAGCTAGCCTCTCATGACGAGAGCTCCGAAAATGGCCATTCGGAGTCATCGACCTTCTCTGACGGTCGATTCACTCGACATTATGAATCTAGTAGTAACGGCTTTTCTGTCCAATTTCAATGGCAACTTTAACCCCATCTCACTTCGTAGTCCGTGTTTATCATTTTTTCTACTCCGCTGAGTATTGGGTAGTGTTGGTGGAAGGATAGTATGAAGGAGTGCGAAAGTATGCGGGTTATTCTCATCGCAGGGTTCCCAACTTCTAACCTTTCTATGGCCATTGTAGGTTCTAGGAGTATGCATGATGACAATGGGAGAACTACTGAGCCCTGAATCATGAAGAAGTCTGACAGGGCTCAGCAAGCGCTTGACTTGACCCGCCCCATTCAAGGAAGCTTCAATAACATTACCAGTCTTCATTTCATGTAAGACCCCCGAACAATATTCAGACCGAGTTTCATCTGATGCGGAAAATGTCGGCATTCTTGAGAACTGCTTTAGCATATGGTGCAGAGACAGCAGTGTCTCATATGCTGGGCTTTGATGACTTCAGCAGGGCAGCTACTACTCAGTTTGATTCAGCTGAGTAAGCTACTGATGGTTACATGTTCCAAGGGTCTTGAGTTGTCAATACCCGTAACTAGAGTGTTAGGACAGATATGAATGCTTTACCCACTTCAGCAGTACTGAGTCGTAGTAACAGCTCATACCACTTCTCCTCCGAATCGATGCACAGCCACACTGCACACAAGCTAGATCGCCTTTGCGATAAGTAATAGTCGTGTCTCGAGTTCAGGCTTTGATTCGTGCTGTTTCCGGCTGGTAGGCTCGAACGAGTCGTGGACAAGCTAGACCTCTACCTCATGTCGACTAACAAGATCGTTGAGATGGTAA